AGGCAATTACTTTGCTAGTTTTTAAGGAATAAAAATGATTGTGTAAACAATATATATTTTATAAAATAATTAATTAAAAAATATACCAATTATTCACTAAATAAATTAACTAACAAAAATCAGATTTTCCACACTAGGAAAATCCAAAATTCATAGCTAACTAGTTAGGAATTTTTGGCCCTTTTGATTAAATAATAAAATATAATGTTGCTTAATTATATATATATATATATATATATATATATATATACATACATATATATTTTTTAAATAAAATATATGGATAATAATTAAGTTTTTAAAATGCTTTTAGCGCCAAAATTCAAATATCGGTTTGGCTCCAAGATTCAGATAGTAAAATAAATTACGAAAATACCCTTTTTTAGAAAATAATAATCAATCAATTAATTAGAAATATGTTTCAAAAATACGGGATATTACACTCTCTCCTCCCTTTATCATCGCCGCTGCCGGAGTAATTTCGACGGTGAAGGCGAAGCATCGATGGATGTTGCTGCTGCTGTTGGGGCTGAGACATGTGATGGTAATGGTGGTAATTTAAGTGGGAGAAATTGTTAGAGTTAGTGTTTGGGATTGGGGGTTTGGATTTTGGGGATTTTCCTTCGGTAGCGGGGATGACTAAGGGGAAGGGGAAAGGGGGGTCAGGGAAGCGCCAACACCGGGGGAGGGGAAGGGGGTCTAGGTGACGATTGGCGATCAGGGAGAAAGGGATTAGTTGGCTGTGAGTGGCTGTGTTGGTGGTTAAGTTTTTTTTTCTTTTTTATTTATTTATTTATTTATTGATTTTTTTTAACCAATCATACGCTGACACGTGTCTTGTAGCCTGTAATATTAAGTTGGATGATCGATTGAGAGTGTTATTGGCGGACGGGGTATAAAGTTCGGATTAATAAAAAATAATCCAAAGTTGGGATTAATATTGGCGGATGAGGCAAACTTGGGATTAATTACGATAATTTTTCCTTTTCTTTTTCTATTAAATTGATTTTAATTATTTTTTTTAAAAAAAAAAAAAAACCCAAAACCAGTGCCTTTTCTCCGTCACTAGGCACTCTGCCCAACCACCACCACTAACCCCCTTCTCTTAGCCGGAGCTAGCCCACCACCATCCCCATCCACCTAAACCCAGACCCGTGACCACCACCCCCACCCACCACACCCAAACCCGAAACCACAACCAAGACCACGACCCCACCTACTCAGACCTTGAAACCACTACATCTAGACCTGAAACACCTCCTCCTTCTCATCTCGTTCCCTTCCCTTCAATGCCTTATGTGGTGTCGCGGTGGCGCGTCGGGTCTACAGATAGGGTTTACGTGACTGCGGTTTCGATTCAGGGGGAGCGAGTGAAAGTGATTTCGACTTAGATGGTGTGACCGCGTGAGTAAGTATGGCGCGTGAGTAAGTGTGGTTTCAATTTAGGTGGGTTTTACCGTTGTGGTTAGAAGTCTGGGTTTGGGTGGGGTGGGATGGTAGTGGCTGAGGTGGTGTTGGTTCAGAATAATGTAGGGTTTCGGGGGGTCTACCATCAGTGCCATGGTGGCCAAACGGAAAGGGAGGAGGGGGCGCACAAACCAGAATGGAGAGGGGCTTGGATGGAGGGGACTTTATTTTAAAATTGTTTTTTTTTTTTTTAAATTAAAACTGATTTTTTTTAAAAAGGATTAATGTAAAAATTAAAATAAGAAATCCAAACTAATGATAATCTGACACGTGTCATGTTCAAGATTTTTTATTCTATTTTGAGCAGATGTTCCCCAAAGATCATATAATTTTGGGATAATTAAAAGGTCATTTTAATTTTAGAAGAACAGCCAAAGGTCGTATTATTCTTGACAAATTTTCCTAATTTTTTAGGTCGAAGCCAATATTTGGTTATTTTTAAAAAAAAAATCCAACATTTGGCTATTTTGGCTCTAAACATTGGAAGTTAGCCCAATATTTTTTTTTTATTTTTTATTTTTTGAGATGTCATATGGCGTGCTCTCGCACTTAGAAAAACCCATACTTTGGATTTATATTATCATATTTAGGAACTAATTGATATTTATATACAATCCTAAGGATTTTATATACATAAATCTGAATAATGTTTGGAGTCTTTGGCACCCCATAAACGGTGACATTATCAACACAAACCATTATCTCAGAAGGACTACAGTAACAAGGTTTAGTTACTAAAAAATATGAGGGGCATCTTAAGTCCTTGCACCCGCCAGAATAGGTTCTAAAATACCCACTAAAATACCCACTCGTATTTATGCAAGCCATCTTACAAGATAATAAGGGTAATCAATTATAAAGTGATGCTAGTTAATTGGTCCTGGAATAAGCACACACTTAGATCGGGAATGGATGGTGCCAAGAGTACACGGAGTAGGGTGGAAAGGGGTTTTAAGGGGCACGCTTCATTTGACTGGCTCAATCAGCGCAACATGTTATATTGAATGCTTGTTAGAAAGGGCTAAGGTGGGGTACCATACCACGTATGCGTTCTCTTCGTTTGAGCGGTTACAATTTACACAGACTCGTCATTTGTGATTCAATTGCTGAAGGAAATAGGGGTTATGGACATCAATATAATATGGACAATGGATTGTATTGGTCAGCAAAGCACTATTTTTTATTGGTGTTGTATTCGGAAGGTGCCCTAAGATATGGTCCATATGATGCATGACTTCGCTATGACGGCAAACAATAACTTATCATCTTTTAATATTATATTTTATAAACTAATGCTTAAGCTCATGTAAAAAAAATAAAAAATAAATAAATAAATAAATTAAAATTCATATACTCTTACCCTTGAAAAATATTGTTGGCACTTGAAATTTGAGCTCCTAGACAAACTTGTTAAAATAGTAAGGGAAGATTGTCTAGAACTACCCGCAAGATAGGGTCATTTGTGAACAATTACCCATTCTTTTTTTATTTGTTTACAACTATCCGCAAGTTTGAAAAAAGTTTGGGTAGCACTACCCATTAATGTTTTCCATCCAAAAACTGTTAGTGGGCCCCACATTGTACACGTGTCAATTGTTTATTGGATAAAAAAAATAGAAAATCCAACCCAACCCCACCCTCCTTCCCTGACCACCCCATCCCCACTGCCCACCGGCCACCGGAACCCAGCAACCCCATTCCCCTCTCCACTGGAAAACCCACAGCCCACAACACCAAACAACCACCATCACCACTAGCCTAAACTCCAATCACCACCAATTTTTGTGAAGAACACTAAAAAAGTTGAATTGGGGTTTTTTGTTTGGTGAAGCAATTCACAAAATTGTTTGCTTTAATTGATTATATGTTGAATTGTGAACATATTGGTAAAAATTTAATAAAATTTGGTGAAGAAATGATGTTCCTCAAGCTTTCATGCGTGAGCTTCAATGGAGCTTCAATGGCGTTTTTGTGCGTTTGGGAAGAGGAGGGGAAAGGGAAGGGGGCCGACATCGACAGAGAAATGGCGGCGAGAGAGAAGGGAGGTGGGGTTTCGGGGTGGTGGAGACTGGTGGCTGGGGTTCTGGGACCATATTAAGGTTTTGGGGTGTTTTTCAGTGGCTGTTCAGTGGCTGGGGTGTTTCAAGGATGGGTTAGGTGGGTTTTTCGGTGTCTCGATTGCTTTGAGGTCGGCTCCGGTGGGTTTTTCGGTGGCTGGGGGGTGCCGACGGTGGGGCTGTGTTAGGGTTTTGGGGCTGCCGGCGGCAGTTCATGGTTGCCGGTAGTGGGGCTGGGTTAGGGTTTAGGGTTTTTTTTTTCATTTTTTATCCAATAAAAAAATGACACGTGTACAATGTGGGACCCACTAACGGTTTTTTGGATGGAAAACGTTAATGGGTAGTGCTACCAAAACTTTTTCAAACATGCGGGTAGTTGTAAACAAATAAAAAAAATGGGTAGTTGTTCACAAATGGGCCTATCTTGCGGGTAGTTCTAGACAATTTTCCCAAATAGTAAGAATGGAGTTTACGACAGTTGCTCCATACCAAGTGTTGCCTCGCTTTAATGTTGTGTGTTGTTACTTGTTAGACCCTGTTTCGGGTGAGCTCCGACAACTTGAATTTTGAGATCCGTAAAGGTTTATCGGCCAATTAAGCACCTGCACAGTCAGCACAAATTAGCTAATCCGGGGGGTTCTCCGGGGATAACCGCTCCAATGCTAAAGTTAGCAATTTGAGGAAAGAAATAAGAATAAAGATGAAAGAGTGTTTAAAGATAGAGAGAGAGAGAGAGAGTTAGAGAGATCAAGATCGTACCTTAATAATCAATTATGCTTGGGTATTTATAGGAAGACAAGCAAGCTGGTACCACCTATCAACATAGGTGGCTAGTTGACTTCGTAGGCAACAGGTGCCTACATGGCCATAAGCAGCTTTCCACGTGGCCATGATTAAGGCCGATATGGAGAGTAAGCCGATATGCGTGATAACGGATAGCTAACAGCATAACATATTTTAGTGTACAAATCCTAACGGCGTCGACAGTATCCCGTACAACTAGTTCCCCAAGTGAGGACGTCTGTGTAACTGACGCTCTCGCTTGTCACATGTGCCAAAGTGAATCGTGCCGACAACAAGTGGAGTAATTGAAAAAATCTTCGATTTGCCCTCGAAGTGAGCAAAGTCAGGATAATAACTTGCTCAATTTAAACATTAGGCCGAAATTGAAAATTCTTTGAAAGTAAAATGAGATTTAGGGAGATGACATAAAAAATTGGGTAGGAAAGTATTTGAAGTAGTGGGGCACGTGTCAAACATCTAAAATGGGTTGGTGAAAAGGCACTTTTTCCCAGCCGTTGGATTGCACGCAACTAATTTCATATCAATCGCCACTGTACATTGGAGTATAAATACCCAAAAATGTGCAATTCTACAATTTCAACTCCCAAAAAAAAATTCGAAAAAAATTCTTCAGTGTTTCTTGCGATTTGCGAATTTAAATTTCGATCATGGAACCAAGTTACTCAAGCATTTCAAGCATTTCGAAAATCAAGTGTCCATCGGAATATCATTAGCGGCTTTATTATGTCATTTTACGAAGAAACGAGACTGCAAGAGGTAAAGAACCCTAACTTTCGTTTCCGTTTTTGGTTGATACTTGTTCTTTACAGTAAATTTTAGCAGTATTTTACTTTAAATATAACAATGTCTGGATCTGGAAAGCACTCGGATATGGGTAAAGCCGATGAGGCTGACCCTTTTACACCCCTGTCCTCAGCGCAAGAACGGGAAGCTTATTATTGGCATAAATTTCTTGTCGGCGTAGAGAAGATTTTACACCCTAATAACCCTAATATTTTAGAAGACGTAGAGATTGTGGATACTGAGCCTCTAAGTATCCGTTATCATTTATGGAGCATTTCGGAATTTCTTGATCAGTATGATACAAATATCGGCAAAATAGGTATTAAAAGTACCAGAATGCCGAGAACGAAGTGCACTAGCTATCAGCCTCAGGAGGCTGAAGAAGTCAGTCGGCGCCCTAGCAAAGAACCAATGTTAAAGCTAGAACCGCCGACATCGGATGTCAGGGATGAGGACATGCTGTCTGTCGAAAGAAGTGTTGAGGGTTCGGAGGAGGATGAAGAGAAAAATGTTAGTACTGTGCGAAAAGGTGATGAGGACAGTGAAGAAGATGAAGATAAAGAGGAAGAGGGTGATGAAGAAGAGACGGATCAGGAGATAATCGAAGATATTAATGCCGGTCAGCAGATTCTCCAAGAGGAGAGATTAGATGAGGGCTTTAATTCAGAGGATGATGATGCTGGCAACCACTTCAACTTTCTGGGGATTTAAAAGTAATGAAAACAGTGGTAGATAAAGCATGGATCAAAGTTGCGACTAAGAAGAACTACTGCAGTGTGAGTAAACAGTTTTTCAAGCTTCCTGACGGTTATGAATTGACCTTACCTAAGAGGGTAATACCGTTTTCGATTGTCCAAAGGGGCATATAGCAGTATATGCGAAGCACTTTGAATTTGGGTTGCGTTTTCCTCTGCATCATTTCATAGAAAAGATATTTAAGGCATGGATGTATGTATTGCTCAGTTAACATCGACAACAATTCGAAACATTGTGTCGCTGGTATGGGTTATGTTATTCATGGATTTCCCGTTAACCCTTAATTTGGTCCATAAGCTACATTAGATCAAAAAGAACAATTAATCACCAGGCTGGTGGTCTTTGTATACAGCCTCTGGTAAGATTACGGTGTGGCCGAAATTAACCAATTGTAAAAAATGACAAAACTAATTTTATTTTCTAAAAGTGCCAGATGATTTCAATCTGCGAAGAACTTTCTACCCTCCCCATAGCAGATTTGATTCTGTTAGAGATATGAAGTTAGGCAAGCTTGAATTTAAAGCTTTTCATTTTTTCGATTGTCTGTATGTAAATGAAGGTAAAAAGATTAAAGTTGTTCCAAGCGTGATATGGCATCCATTTAAAATAGAACAAGGCCAAATGTCCTTCCTCTCAGAAAGGGTGGTGGTACCAGCACCGGCTCCAAAAGGCCCAGTGGTGGAGCCAGCTTGGATCAGTCTAAAAAATAAAAACCATCCCGGCTCAAGACCAACAAGCCGGCAGCCGAAAGACGTCCCAACTGACATGAAGGACAACGTGGATTTGGAGGATGATAACGGCAACAGACCAAAGAAAACGGTGGGCATCACTGCCCCAAGGCAACCAGTCGACGGCTTCGATAAGGCCACATCACAGAATAAGGATGCAACCTTTCTCTACAGTTTGCTCTGGTTCTAGCAGCCTCAATGCCCTTATACCTGTGTTGACGGATGATTTTATTGAGATTCCCCATGTCAAAATTCTCAAGGAGGTGATGGAGGAATTTCTTGTTCCTGTCGGTACTGTTGGTGAACCACGGCATCCTCGAATTAATGTGAATAGGGGGAATTTGTCATTACGGATGACCTATCCACTAGAGGTAGCATGGGATGGAGGGTGCTAAAAGATTTGGCCACTCTTGCCGATAGGCCTGTCAGCCGGCTCGCTGCTCCTTATGGTCAAATGATGAATAACCTACTTAGGGTAAGTTATCCTCCTTAATGCTTCATGTATTGTGATTTGTATCTGATAATCAAATATTATATTTATGTCTTGTTTTATCTCTTGCAATTTTGTGTCAATGCACAAATTGTCAACTCGGCTGTAGAGGTTGTCCACATGTACAAATATTATCAGAGGTATGCGGACAAAGCCGAGAGTATTGTGAAGAAGGCTAAAGACGAGTGCAAAGCGGCCGCCCTTGAGGTTTCGAACTGTAAAGTCAAGATAAGGTTTCTTGAGAACCAGCTGACTAGCCTAGAGGAGTCAAAAAAGAAGTTGGAAAATCAAGACAAGCTGAAAGCCCAAATAGCTGATTTGGAGAAAAGCTTGAAAATCGAGAGGGCAAAGAAAGAGGAAGCGAAGAAAAAGTTTGAGTAAGCTCGTCTTGAGAAGCCTTCTATCAGGCGTCAAGCTGTCAACCGGTTCTTGAGGTCTGATTTATACTGGGACAAGCTGGTTAACCGTTATACCGGTGGGTGGGTAGCAGCACATCGTTGCGTGTGTATAACCGAGGGTTGGGAGGAGACGAGATGTCAGTCAATCGAGGATGCTTACGGTAATGACAAACATCACTCTCCCACCAGCTATGAAGAAGGATATTTTGCCGATCCCCCCAGCATTGAAACAATGACAAATGTTGATCCACGTGATATGCCGGATGAAAAGTTTGATGACGCCATTCTTGCCAGCCTTGTAGGTGAGAAAGGGCCAGAGAAAGAGTCCAAGAAGAAAAAAGGTTTAAGGGTTAGGCAGTCATCACCAAGCTCATCATATGGATCCTCATTTTCTTGCAACCATTGTTAAGCTGAATGAATTTTATTTGTGTTTTTGTCAGTTCTAAAACTCTCAATTGTTATGAACAAACTAATCGTCTGTTTGTCTATTTTAGCCGGTCTGATCCTTGTACTTTTTTGGGTGATGGCTGTTGGTTTTCTTTGTTTTAAAGTATGTTTGAATACTCTTTAAGTTTTAACTCTTGCTATGTATACATGATGCTTTCAGATCAATGATTTATCCCTTTTACTCATCAGTATGTTACTTGCATAGCGTACCTTTAAACTCATCAGTATGTGCTTTAAGCTAGGTCTTCAGTGCTAGTGTGCGCTTCGGTATTCCGAATAGTTTTATTTAAAACTTATTCGAATACCTTTCGCAACATTAACTATCAGCCACTATAACATGCCCATCTTATTGGCCTAGGTTATAGCATGATTTCACCAGTATGATACTTGCAACCTTTTCAGGCCGAGCAAAGATAGTGGATCAGACCATCATTTAAACTCGCTTGTAGGTGCTAACAGGGTAAAGTCGTATCTCCTAATCAAAAGAATTACCTAAGTCCTCTAACTAAAGCAGATAGGGAAGTAGGGTCGAATCCACAGGGAAACAAGTCTTTCTATTCCTAATTAATTATTATAATCTAAATTATCAAAGAGCAAAAAGGGTTTATATGAATTAATCTAAGGGTAAAATCAATAATAAAAACCCTAGGGTCGCAGGTTACCAATAATTAATACTCCGGGATAAAACATAACAATCAACAATTAATATTGCACATATAACATGATTAACAGGCTCTCGCAATTTATTAATCAACATAGATCTAACAAGCTCTCGCAATTTACTAGCTCTAAGTTCCTATTGAAAATAGCCTTTAATACCAAATTAACATATGTTCGATTCATCAATTCAATATTGTTATACTTTTACAATCAAATCACATCTGCTCGATTCATAATCCAATTGTAAAGAATTAAAACGATTTAATAAGAAATTATCATGCAATATCAAAAATCAACCAAAACAATTCATCCCTTCATATTAATTATGGATCCCCCAAGAACCTAGAATTAAACTACTCACGCATAATTGAATCTAAACTAATCAAAGCATATATGGAAGGCATGATTAAAATCAAAACACAAATTAACAAAGCAATTAAAATCAAAGCAATAAATAAAGCAATAAAAGACGCGAGAAATAATACCGAATGAAGGAAATATGAAATTGCACTAAAAAGGGAAAACTTGAGTTCAACAATAATCTCCAACTAAAATCTCTCTAAAAGTTATAAGCATGAAAGAAATAATAATGGAAAACGTCCCTAATAAAGCTTACAAAAAGAACTTAAATACTAAGCCTAAAATTAGCCAAAACGACGAACCCTAAGACTCCCAGGAAAAACACGCGCCCGATCGGGCCCGCCTTTTTTCTTCTAACCGCCTTTTTGGGCATCCGCCCTATCGGGCCATAGGTCGCCCGATCGGGCTCGGTCTTTTTCTTGGTCGAGTTTTCTTTCTTCTTTTCCTTTGGGCTCCAATTGCTTGTGGCCCAAATTCTTCTTCTTCTTAGGTCCATTGATTGGACCAATTCCACGGACCAAGCCCTTAATCACCGATATGATCGATCTTGGGCTACGATCAACGGTCATGAATGTGACAAAAGCTTTGATATCTCATAGTGGCCGGAAAACCGTAGAAATTATCGACAAATCCGGGAAATTGCTACAAAACAAATGCCAACTCTACAAAACACTCGAAACCACACATTAGTACTAAAGGTATCCCCGAAGAGCTCAAATATGCATAAAAATGATCGTGGGACGGGGGATAAAATAGCATATAAAATACATATATCAAACTCCCCTAAGCCAAACCCTTGCTTGTCCCTAAGAAAGGCAATGAATAAAACAAATCATAACTTCACCCCAAATCAAATTCAAAATCCATAATACAACTCAAAGCCCATCCAACAAACATGCGTCAAAATCAATCACTCAAACCCATCTGATTACCAATCTTCCCTAACAATTGTCAAACAGAGAAAACCACAAGAGCATATAAAATTCAAGACTAGTGCTCACACACTCAACCTAGTAATCGACTCGGAATATGTCAAATCATTCTTTGCATTGATAAACAACTAATTTCACATTCATACAACTCTATGCACAAAGGTTGGAAGGTCTTCAAAGTTTGTAATGTAAGGCTAGGGTAAAGGGTAGGAAATATTTGGGAAAATGTGAGAGTAAAGCCATGCTTAAGGGAGCCAAATACTAATAAAACCAAGGCCAAAAATAAATGATGACTATAACTCAACACTACAATAAATTCACCAAACAACCAATCCAATAATATCACATATTTTCCAACACTTACAACTTCACTCAAATAAATATGATAATATAGAACTTGAGTGAATAAACAAACTTTGATTTCTTTTCTTTTTTTTTTTCCAACTTGAATATTTTATCCTTGAAACTTATTTTTTTTTCTTTCTTTTCTTTTCAGCAACCTTCATTAGAACACTTTGAACATTTCTTTTCCTTTTGCTCTTATTTTTTCTTTTTATTTCACATTGGAATTTTTTCAACTTTTGAACATCTTTTCAATTTTTCAATCACAAAATCAAAAGAACAAATTACTCCTCTTATTCACCCACATTGTGCAAATTATGAGCACACTACAACTCCCTCACCTCATTAACTAATAGCTCCCCCAAGCCAAGCTTGAGACTAGTAACCAATGGGGCAAAATAGGCTTGTAATGTGGCTAAATAAACAATGAAAAGTCAAGGCAACAACATGGGCAGCAAGAAGGGAACAAATGTATCTAATATCGTCTGAAGGCCACCCAATAGAACAAATTCCTTCATCTTCCTCATTGTGCATAATAATGAATCATATAAACATTCCTCATAGTTAAAAACCAATACTCAACTTCATTGATATATCAAGAACTAACACACATTCCTTACCAAATCAACTAGTCAAGCATTATATTCACAAGTAGTTTTGAAAAATTGACGCATGTTAAAATTTCAAGGCAACCAAACATCAAATCATGACCAACTAATCCACAATGTTCATCATCAATAACCAAGAGTCAAAACAATTTTCATCAAGGGGCGCAGGGAAGCATGATTCATCTTTTTATTGGAACGTATTTTTGCAATTTTTTTTTTTTTGAAATCATTAAATCTAACCTAAGAAAATAATAAAATGGAGAAAAGAGAAAGAATACCATAAAATAGAGAAGTGATAAAGAATACCATAAAATAAAGAAGAGAGAAAGAATACCATATATACAAAATCATCTCCCCCCAATCAAGCCATGTCCTCGTTGAATTGGGAGTGTAGCTACGAAAAGCTACTCCTCATCATCATCCTCATCCATCCTAGCATAGCCACTACCACCTCCATGGCTAGAACCGGCACCTCCTTCACCCAAACTACCTAAAAAATAGTTAGGATCCACATTCCCACCTATCCCACCAAAAGGAACATCAGCCCCATAACCATGGACGGAAGAATAGTCCACATAAGTACCATAAGCACCAGGGGTAGTGTATCCTCCTTGAGGATATTGAAACCAATCGGGGACCATAGCCTCGGGGGGAATAGCCCCTCGACATGCATATCATCATACATGGGGTATAAACCCCTCTTTAGGTTTCGCTCAACATAGCCAGCCCTCCTATCAAGAGACCCCACCCTAGTGTTAAGGGATTGGACCATTCCCTCTACCCTTCCTTTCCCCATCTCGATTCTATCAAGTTGGCTCCTAAAAGCCGAAAATTCATAAGGTGCATTAGGATCTATGTTATAGTCATGAGAAGAGGAGGGGATGTCTTTCATGTAAGGTTGGGGTAAAATGAGGTTGTGGTTGAGGTTGGAATTGTGGTGGAGGTTAAGGAGCTTCTTGAGCTTCTCCATCATTGCCTAGTACAAAAGTGTAGGTGGTCTTACCCCTATCAAACTTAGTCAAAGTAGGATTAGGCAATTTGAAAGCTTGCTCTCTCCTTCCTGATTCTCTATGGATCACCCACCAAACCTCATTTGGCCGACTCACGCTATGGGTAGGTTGAAGCCAATTAAGGCTTCCCAAGTAGCTAAGGTCCATCAAGGTAGGCGCGTTTACCTTCCTATGGTCATTAGGCTCAAAACCCATTAATTTAACCGCAATGTGTGTTACTAACCCACCAAAATAGATAGGGGTTCTCGCCCTCAAGGTCTCAGAGGCCTTAGCACTACGTTGGGAGTGTTGTGCCATCTTTAGTGGGATGTTTATCTTCCCACCCTCGGAAAACAAGTAAGAGGCTAACAGCTCTAATTCGTCCCCCCTAACGTTGGCTGGTTCATGCCTCCCAAAAATTGTAAGGCCCACAAATCTTTGCCAAAACTTTGGCACGGGGTGGTGACTGATGGTGCCCTTGGAATGTTGGAGGCTATCTAAAACCTCTCACGTGAGGGCTAAGTAAACCTCACCACAAAAATCTCTAGGCGGATTGGATGGTCTATCGGATTTTAATTCAAAAAAAATTCCAAAATCCTTCAAGGATAATCTCACATCATTATTAAGCAAGCGAAATTAAACATGATACACATTTGGGTTCGATTTTATTAAGCTAAAAGTAGAGATGAATTCCACTGTTAGATAATCATAAGTGTCTCTATGCATATTGAAGAAACTAGACATGTCAATTCCTATGAACAATTTTTCTACTTGTTTATCAATGCCCAAAGTAATCAATGTAGGATGATGCACAAAACGAGTAGCAATTACCTGCCGTTGAATAAGATTGAGCATCCTCCCCCTTTGTTCTTGGCTAGTGACCATCACCTCCTTCTATCCTGGAATTTGAAGTTCAGGGTCGACCATTGGTGTTGGTTGTTGCCTTGATTGTTCTCCTCTTTGTCCCCTTGATCTCTTGGAAGCCATTTGGGTGATGTTTTTTGAAGAACTTGAGATTTTCTCTCTCTAGGGTTTCTTAAGAGTATGAGAAAACAAAGAGAAATTGGGTTTGAAATATAGAGGAAGGTGAGAGAATCAAGAATATGGTAAAAAATTTGAGTTTTGATGAGAAATTGGAGAAGATCTTAATTGGAAGATGGAGCTGAAGGTTTGAAAATGGAGTTAAGAGAGAGAAAGTGAAGGTGAAAGAGATGAAAGAAAGAAGAAGGTGAAAGAAATAGAAGGAGAAAAGAAAAAGAAGAAGGGTCGAGCAAAAGACGTGCCCGATCG